ATCTCCTTCCTAGTCGTGCACTCTTGACAGAGTGGTCGTGGTCATGTCTCGGTCAATTCTTGTGCCACTGATGCAATCGCGATGCGTCGCCATGCAGCTCGATGTTTTGCAGAGCGAGAACAATCATTTACGCTAGAGTGCGTCGCCGATTTAATAAGGTCTGTCCACCTTGTTGGAGAACGCCCGCGAGACCTTTTGCCCTCAACTTTCCCTTGCACCACCAATCGTTCCATGGAGTTCTCATTGCGAGTAATATGCCCGAAGAATTTGAGGATTCGTATCTGCACAGTCGACGATAATCTCTCTTTGATGTTGAGTTCCCTCAGGATTGAAACGTAGGTACGGTGCGCGGTCCAAGGAATGCGTAGCAGACGTCTCCAACACCACATTTCCAGAGCGTCAATCTTGCGACAGTCTTTCGTTTTGAGTGTCCACATCTCAGCTCCATATAGAAAGATTGGAAAAACCAAGGATCTCATTAGCCGAACTTTTGTGTTTTTGGTTATCCTACGGTCTCTCCAAATCTTTGTGAGTTTTTCCACTGATGATCTAGTCATGGCGCAACGTTTTCGAATTTCATCATCGTTGGTAATAGTGGAACCCAGATATATGTAGCTGTTGACAACCTCGCAACCCGCTATACTCTGGACGTCCGGTTGGTTATAGTTAGCCCGATCCACAATCATTATTTTGGTCTTATCACGATTGATTGCAAGTCCAAATTCCGACGCTGTCGTCTCTAGTCGATGAAGAAGCAATTCGATATCCTCTCTGGTTGACGCTAGGAGGGTAGTATCGTCGGCGTATCTTAAGTTAGACACTTTTCTGCCTCCTACGGATATTCCTTCACCCCAATCTTCAAGAACAATCCGCATTATATACTCTGTGTATATATTAAATAGTAGGTGAGACAATATACAACCCTGTCTTACACCGGCCTGTGTTTTGAAGTGCTCAGAGTGGACATCGTCGACCCGGACAGCTGCAGTACCATCCTCGTATAGCCGTCTGATGAGGTGTATAAGGTGCAGCGATACCCCCATCTCCGTCAGTATCGACCATAATTTCCACTATTTGACCGTATCGAAGGCTTTCCTGAAGTCAACGAAGCACACGGAGAGAGCGATGTTAAATTCTCTGGCCTTTTCTACAATTTGTCTCAAAATAAGCAGCTGTTCTCTTGTATCTCGACCCTTTACAAAACCAGCTTGCTCGGAGGCGATTTCTCGGGACAGATAAGCTTGAAGCCTCATGTTTACAATGTGCAGCAGGATTTTACTGGCATGGGATATGAGAGAGATGAGTCTGTAGTTGCTACACTTTTTTGTTGATCCCTTTTTATGCAGCGGGATGAATACAGAGTGGGACCAATCACACGGCCAAACTCCGGTGACCCAAATTCGACAACAGTAGATTGATTGTAGATTTTCCCCATAGCTTTTATCGTCTCAATCGGGACTCCATCGAAACCCACAGCCTGGTTCTCTTTAAGATGTTTAATCGCTGCTCGTACCTCATCTTTTAGCGGAACTGGTTCGCGTTCTGAGGTTTCGTCATAGGTCATTGTGACGTCAACTGCACGGTCAGCAAACAAAGACGCACAGTAGTCCATCCAGACACATACAATCCGTTTAATCTCCGTAACAGTAGACCCAGTCGTATCCTCAATGGCCCAAGTCTTTGGTTTGAACTGGCGGGTTATAAGTCTGATTTTCATGTGTAAGTCTTTTGTTTCAGACTTTTGAGAATGCCGTTCAACCTCTTCACATATTGACTGTAGTTCCATATTACGATCTCGGCGGCAAGCAGCTTGTATGGCAGAAGTCATGGCATTAAGTTCTTGTATTTTAGCGCCACTTCCTTTAAGCTCTCTACGCTTCTCGATTAAGCTCCAGGTATCGGTCGCCATCCAGTGCTGTTTCTTTTTGGATCTAACGTGAGGCTGAGATTCATGGACGGCATCCTTTACAAGTTGTACGAGCGATTTCCAGAGGCGATCGACGTTCTCTTCTCTGCCAAAGCTTTCGCGTCAGCGCAGTTCTTTGCCCTTAAGCGACTGGACAAAAGAGCCCTTATCAAATACCTGTACGCGATTGGACGTTTTTCCGACTGTTGGCCTGCGCAATCTGATCCTCACATTACAAACCAATAGCTCATGGTCAGACATAACGTCGGCTCCGGGCAGTGTATGGGCGTTAGTTATAGAGCTCCTCCATCTTGTTTTAATCAATATGTAGTCGATCTGGTTGCGGTGTTGTCTACTTGGGGAAGTCCAGGTATACAGTCTTCTGGGGTGGTGCTTGAAAACTGTATTCATTATGGTAAGGCTGTTATCTGCTGCAAACTGGACAAGGCGTTCTCCTCTGCCGTTCCTGCAACCTAGACCGTAGTGCCCCACGATATTTCTCAAACCAGCATCAAGTACAGTGGTGCCAACTTTAGCTTTGAAGTCGCCGATAACCATCAATATCTCTCTTTTTGGGATGTTGTTGATACAAGCTTCAAGTTGATTATAGAAGTCCTCGATAATTTCCTCCGTAGCGGCGCTTGTGGGAGCGTATACTTGGATGATATTTAGTGCACATGGTGAAGCATTGATCTTCATAGTAATTATCCACTTGCTGACAGGGTTGTAACCCAAGACACAGCCAGCTATGGATGTGGGTATTACCACAGCCACTCCTGCGAAACCAGAGCATTCGTTTCCCGAGAAAAAGATGGTGTGCTTGTCTACGATTCTGTGTCCACTCTCTTTCCAGTGCGTCTCACTCAATCCAGTAATAATTGTATTGCATCACTCGAGTTCGTGGTCCAATACATGGAGCTTTCCTTCATCGATGAGGCCCCTAACATTCCATGTCCCGATGCGGATGTCATTGCGAAGTTGGAGTCTCGTTTTTCCAGTAGCATAATTTCCATGTGCCGCCTGGTTAACCGCTAACACATGGCCGGTAGCCAATTTCACACCATGATTCCCGGACAATACAGGGCGCCGATCGCTACTCAGATCGCCAGGCACACGTTTACTTTTATTTGACCTCATCATAACTCTCGTGGGAAATTAGTGCAGTGGTTTCCCGTTGCTTTCTGCACCAGAACTTTTAGGGGGAATTTGGGCCCCAAGGTTTCTGACGCCTCTTCCGTACAGGTTGTCCCAACGGGTATGTATGGTTATACCGCCATTTCTCGGTCGCCATTGCCCCGTTGGTTATCTAGCAGGGAATACCACGGCAACCAATTGGTTGCCGCCGCCATTCGGCGCGTGCAGGTGGGGTTGACAATAGGGCGGGTGAAGGTAGTATTCCGGTCTCCCCTTACTCCCCTAGAGATTTAGAATTTTATTCATTTTAAATATGGGGTGGACGCTTAAAGAAGACCTTGTTGTAGTTATTGCGTAGGTAGCATCGTTGCGGTTACGCGCTAATTCAAATTTTTGATATACTGAAAAATTTGAATATAACCAAAAGATTTGTTTATCGTACCATCAAACGATACAATGAAGACTCTAGTGTAGATAACAGGTCAAGAAGTGGTCGTCCTCGGTCTGTTAGGACTCCAGCAGTGATAAAAGCTGTGAAAGCGCGTATTCAAAGAAATCCCAAACGTAAGCAGAAACTGTTCGCCTTTCAGATGGGGTTAAGCAGAACCACGGTGAAAAGGGTGTTAAATGAAGACTTAGGGCTTCGGGCATATCGAAGAAAAACAGGACATCGTTTGAATGCTCGTCTAATGGATCTGAGACTGAAGAGAAATTCTTTTTTCGAATGAAAAAAATTTTACCGTAGAAGAGAGCTACAACAAACAAAATGATAAGGTGTACGCACGCAGTAGTGAAGAAGCGAGCAACCGTATTCCGCGTGTCCAACGAGGTCATTATCCATCCTCGCTCATGTTATGGTTGGGAATTTTCTTATTGGGGCTTAACAGAGGTACATTTTTGTGAGAAAGGTGTAAAAACGAATGCAGTCCTGTATCAAAAAACAGTCCTGATGAACCTTGTGGCACCTGTTTCTCATACCATGTTCAATAACAGGCATTGGGTATTCCAACAAGATTCGGCGCCAGCTCATAGAGCGAAGAGCACACAAGACTGGCTGGCGGCGCGTGAAATCGACTTCATCCGGCACGAAGACTGGCCCTCCTCCAGTCCAGATTTGAGTCCATTAGATTACAAGATATGGTAACACTTGGAGGAAAAGGCGTGCTCAAAGCCTCATCTCAATTTGGAGTCACTCAAGACATCCTTGATTAAGGCAGCCGTCGATATTGACATCGAACTCGTACGTGCTGCGATAGACGACTGGCAGCGCAGTTTGAGTTTTGTATTCAAAATCACGGAGGTCATTTTGAATAAACTTTATTGTCATAAGAGTCTATGTTTTGTTAAGTTTTGGTATATAAATCTTTACATAATAGTGATGTAACGATTATCCGCATCCACATTCGCGAATATTCGCATATTTTTGAATATTCACATTCACATTCGCATTCGCATAATCTCTGCGAATGTTTTGCGAATATGATTATAAAAAAAACAATTTGAAGAAGTTGTAGTTCTTCCTTTCCTTGAATATTCATTGTTACACAGCTTGCATTTAGCTCGTTCAGCATCGCAAAGTGTGAAATAAGTCCATATGTCACTAGAATTTGATTTACTCATGTTAATTAATCACTATTCAAACTATAACCTCAAAATTCACTTGTTTTGTTTACAAAAAGACCGGCCCGAGCGGAATGACACTTCAGTCGGATGAGTTCATATCAACTCGGCAATTCGAACGAGACTGCCACCATGCCATAGACAATTGGCGCCAATTTTGAACAAAAATATATATATTCGCATTCGCGAATGTCGGTACCAGATATTCGCATCCGCATTCGCATTCGCAAATGTTCAAAAAATTACATTCGTTACATCACTATTACATAATGAATAAACTTGTTTCAATTATTTTATATTAAACATCTGACAGAATTTATGACCTGACTAGGTATAATACGTCCAGAGCAGTGATACCAGGTCCTATTTTAAAATATCGGAATACGTTACAGAAAAAAGCAGTAGATGTATGGAAAGAGTTACAAGAAAAAACAGTAGATGCAGAGGCGTACTTTCTTTCCGATTTGCCCCCGCCCCCTGGAATTGTTTGTTTATTGCATTATAATTATGTTACCTACATTCTTAATGGCGGAAAACTCAACTCAACATGCTATTTAAAAACAAAATCGTATTCTAAGAAAAACAGTAGATTTATGTAGAAAATCAGCAGAACTGGAGAAATTTTAGAAAAACAGGAGATTTTCTGTTGAATTAGGAGACCTGGCAACCCTGGTCCAGAGGCAATCAAATCTATAAAAGTTAGTAATATGTTCAGCTTCTAAGCTAAGAAAAATATATTAAGGTTGCAGTGACTACAGTTCCAATGAGAACTACAAAGATCCAAAAATCACAAATAATATTAATCCACGCGGATCAGGCAGCAGTCGGGAATCGAACCCTTCGCTATCCGGGCGAATGCACTGACCAATTATGCTACCGCCGTCGAAATTCTTCTACAAATAATATTGTTACCCTAGACAACGTTTCGGAAAATCCACAGTCTCTGTGAACATTAACCGAAATAAATAAAATAAAAATAAAAATTTCCAACACACACCCATTAACCCTCGCCCCAAAGTAAGCACTGTACGGCTTGTGTTATGGGGATACTACGGTAATGGATATAATACATATATAAGTTTAAGTTTATAGAAATACATATTAAACATCCATGTCTGCAGTACAAATACTCGTATTCATCACAAACATCTGCCCCCACCGGGATTCGAACCCGGGACCTCTCGAGTCGGCGACACCTTGAAACCCGGCGTATACACCACTCGGTCACGGAGGTCGTCAAATAAATGTCGGCCACGGAGGTCGTAAATCGTGACATAATACCTAATGCTATGTTCCTCGAGTAGTAAAATCACCGCCGCGCCGGTGACACCTTGTGGAGCTCCGGTGAGTCACCGGGTGGTGGGGAAGCGGGCCTGCAAGGAGAATTTTCCCTCAAGTTGGAAAAAAAAACTGAGTTCCATTTGCTACGTTATTTTAATAGCGATTTACACTCAATTCAGTGATATTTTTCATGCTGTCTTCTCTGTTTGGTAGGCATTGAACAAAAATATCGATTTGCAAGTTTGTAACAAATTATATTCGATTATTTAAATTAAATTGTTTCAAACAAACAAGAGTAAAGCTAGGGTCACACTAACTATAGGTGAAAAGGTTATTGCCGAATTTAGAGATACACCAGGAGCAGGGCCGTATTTCAGGACAACGAAGCTGCGAAGGAGTGGTGGCCCCTAACGAGGGTGTATTTTAAAAACTGTCACCTGGAGTCACTTACGGTTTGCACCCCCTCGTCCTCCCCTTGTTGGGCAACTGCCCCAACTGCTCTTCCTTAAATCCGGATTTGACTAGAAGCATTGCAATTTTTACCTTTACCTACTAAATAATAAATAGCTTTAAGGCGCGTCGTATGTATGATACGAGAGTTTACCAGGGCCATCAGTCACTCAGCGAGTAGCTTGACTCACTGAGAACGGCTCTTTGTAGTGAAATGAAATGAAATGAAAAGTCATTTATTCAGTCTAGGCTGTTACAAGCACTTGTGAAAGTCAAGAAGCTACGCCATCGGTTCGCAAAACTACGGCGGGAGACCTTGTACTGAGAAGAACCGGCAAGAAACTCAGCAAGGGCTGCTTTTTTCTCCCTGTGTTGATATATACAGAGTCGTCAAGTTGAAAAATGACTTCAGACATACTTCTGAAGTCACCTTCCATTACATTATTTAGGGTATAGATATATAGTTACAACAAATTTTATATTACAGTAACAGTAGTACCATACTACTGTTACAAAACCGACTCATACCCATCAAATAAGAAATTACAAGAAACACTATGTCCATGCATTACGATCATTTAGATAATCATTAACTTTATAATAGCCCTTATTCATAGGAGTATTCTTAATCTGAGATTTAAATTTGGTTAGTGGAAGCTCAATCAGATCTTGGGGAACTTTGTTAAACAATGCAATACTACATCCCAGAAATGAACCTCTTGATTTTTGGAGTCTGAAACATGGAACGGCAAGCTTGTTCTTAAATCTCGTGTTAAAGTTATGGGTTTGACTTTTTTTTGCAAATGCGTCATAGTTTTTTCTTACATATATTATATTTTCATAGATGTATTGCGATGCCAGTGTTAAAATATTAATTTCTTTAAATTTTTCTCTAAGAGATTCTCTTGCCTTTAAATTGTATATGGCGCGAACAGCTCTCTTTTGCAGTACGAAAATACTTTCTATATTAGCAGCTGAGCCCCACAACAAAAGGCCATATGACATAACGCTGACGACGACCTCCGTGGCCGAGTGGTTTGTACGCTGGGTTTCATGGCTGTCGCCGACTCGAGAGGTCCCGGGTTCGAATCCCGGTGGGGGCAGATGTTTGTGTGATGAATACGAGCATTTGTACTCCAGTCATGGATGTTTAATATGTATTTATATAAATATACTTATATGTACAGTATATGTATTCTATCCGTTACCCTAGCATCCCATAACACAAGCCTTATAGTGCTTACTTTGGGGCTAGGCTAATTGGTGTGTGTCGGAAATATTAAAAAAAAGAAAAAATGCTATGAAAGTAACAAAAGTAAACCATTCTTGCCGCTTCCATATCAGTTAGGAGTCTTATTTTTTTAACAGCGAAGGCTGCAGAGCTCAGTCTACTTGATAAGGCATCAATATGAGGATCCCATTGCAGATGCGAGTCTAAAGTAATACCCAGAAACTTTGTAGAATCCACTAACTCTACAGGCTGGTCATTTATTTTTAAACTAGTATTAACCTGCCTCACATTAGGTAAAGTAAACTTAACACATTTTGTTTTGCTAGAGTTTAGTTTTAAATTATTTACCGTAAAGCAGTGAAGGACTTCAGAGAGAGTACAATTTACTTCGTCATAACAATCATTTCTTCTCCTAACTTTAAACACTAAAGAGGTGTTATCAGCAAATAGTACTGTCTCACACAAATCTCTTGTAAAGTGAGGAAGGTCATTAATATAAATAAGGAAAAGCAATGGGCTCAATATTGAACCCTGGGGCACGCCCATAGAAATGGGTGCTCCTGTAGACTCAGCTTCATTTATAACTACTTTCTGAATCCTAGCAGAAAGATAAGACTGTATCAGATTTAGTGAAATATTTGATACACCATAATGCACCATTTTATTTAACAATGTTTTATGGCTAACGCAGTCAAACGCCTTTGATAAATCGCAAAAAATGCCAATAGCATCGTGCTTACTCTCCCATATATCAAAAATGTGTTTGAGAACTGCAGTTCCAGCATCAGTAGTACTTTTGCCTCAAGTGAAACCAAACTGTTTTAAATGAAGTAGCTTATTTAAATAAAAGTGTGCTAGTAATTGGTTATAAATTATTTTCTCAAATACTTTACTTAGCGCTGGTAATACAGGTAATACAGGCCTAAAATTGCTGGGATCTGATTTATCACCAGCCTTAAAAAGAGGGATAACTTTAGCACATTTCATTAGATGTGGAAACACTCCCTCATCAATACATTTGTTAAATATAATGGCCAGTTGTGGCGCAATGACAGTGATAATCGGTTTTATTATATATGTTGATATTCCCCATAAATCCTCTGTCTTTTTAATATAAATAGAATTAAATGTTTTTATAATACAATCACTACTGATATGTCTAAAATAAAAATCATTACTGCACTTATCAACACTTGACTCAAGGAGGGTCACTACTAACCTAGAACAAGAATTAAGATTTCTAGTTGATTCAAACGGTGCACTAGAAAAGAAATTTTCAAAAGTGTTGGCAACGGCATCATCTGTCCGAATAATCTTGTTGTCTATTTTTAAAGAATATGTGCGTTCATTGAATTTATTTCTTCCAGTTTCATTATTAATTACATTCCAAGTTGTCTTTATTTTATTATCTGATAGACTATTTTTTTGATAAAAATTTAGCTTTCGCTATGGCACACACCTTTTTAAAAGTTTTTGAATAGTTTTTGACATATTCTATAAACTTAGGATCAGATGAGGTTGCTTTGAGAGCATATAATTGATACAACTTATTTCTACTTTTGTAAATACCAGGTGTGGCCCAATCACTAAATTTCTTTTTAGAGCTATGGCAATTAATTAATTTGCGTTTGAATATTTTATTAAATTCATCTTTAATTAAATTGAATAAATCTTCATACAAAATATTATTATTATTACAAACTGGTAAGTCCGACATTTTATGATAAACACTATCTTTAAATTTATTTATACCCGTTTGTGTAATTGGTCTATAAGTTAGGTCATGTTTGTGTGAAGCATGATGGTGTTCAAGAGAGGCTAATTGTCCACTATGATCAGAATTAATACAACTTATTATTGATTTATTAAAAACTTTCCTATTACAAAAAATATTATCCAAACAGGTTGCTGATGCATGTGTGATGCGGGTAGGCTCAAAGAAGATATGCTCCAAGTTATATGATTTAAATAAGTTTAGAAACCTACCCACTAACGGACACTTAACTAAAATATTTATATTAAAACCACCACATACAACAAGCACTTTATTACATTTACATACTATATTGAAAGCGTCTTCCATAGCGGACTCAAATTGAGTGTAATTCCCAGATGGGGGGCGATATACACATATTATGATCATTTCATCAAGTTCCATACAAGATAGTTCAATATTACGTTCAAATGAAAGTGAAACAATATCTGAACGTTCTTTGTATTTAAGATCATTCTGTAAGATTATGAAGTGTAGCCTAAGCCCTAAAAGCCATTGAAGTGCGCAACGGAGTGCGGCAGACTTTTATCAAATGAAGTGTGCAAGCTATAGGGGGTGTCACATCCAATGTTCCGCTCCGTTACATCTTATTTGACGGCTTAAGGGTGCCCTAGATTCGAAGACGCGACTAGACGACGCCGGGGCATGGAAGCGTTACAATTGTAAGGACACCTGATGAATTTACATCGGCATTGGTTATTTATTGTAGGTATTCCAATATTCTTAGAGAGATAATGTAATAATGTAGGTTGTTACATTTCTAGATGTTTAGTCTGTGGCAAGATGGATAAGAATAAATTATGCATCTATGTTAGTGACACCTATGGTTTTAGCATGATATGACTCAACTATATATATATATCAACTCGGTAAGGGTTCGTCATCGTATCAACGTTCAGTATTATTTGTATGAAACTCCCTACTGCAACGCAAACTGATCGGAATTGTATCGTAATCGCCTCGCCTCGGGATAAGTTCCCGAACCTGCGTGGTCAACTTTCCGTACCTTAGCATACGTCTCTCCATAGACTAGCTTACGTGTCTCTGTAGTCCGTAGCCTAGATTACGTCTATCCGTAGCACGTAGTCTAGCTTACGTCTCTTCGTAGCCGAGCTTACTTCTCTCCGTAGGCTAACTCACGTCTTTTTGTAGCCTAGCTTAAGTCTCTCCGTAGTCGCCACTCTGTCATTACTTTATGACTGACTTGTGCCACCTAGCCATCAACCAGAGTCGCCTAGCCGTAGCAGATCCGAATGTACTGGAGATGCTTATTCGATTACGTTACATGCTTACGTTAGAAGTACACCTGTTGGACGGTTATCCTTTACTAGAGGTCGCCCGCGACTTCGTCTGCGTTAACTTAGTTTCTTGAAAATCCCTCTGGAACCTAACATTTTTTTTAAATAAAAAGGTGTATGCGAAGGCTGCACACGCGACGGAAGCTTAAAAAATGGAGTAACTTCTCCCGTTTTCCCAGCATTTCCCTTTACTACTCTGCTCCTATTGATTGTAGCATGATGAAAAGTATACTATAACCTGCCCAGGAGTATGAAGAATAATTGTACCAAGTTTGGTTAAAATCCGTCGAGTAGTTTTTGTTTCTATAAGGAACATACACACAGACAGACAGACAGACAGACAGACAAAAATTTTACTATTGCATTTTTGGCATCAGTATTGATCACTAATCACCCCCTGATAGTTATTTTGAAAATATATTTCATGTACAGAATTGACCTCTCTACAGATTTATTATAAGTATAGATATCATATAAGGAATTACAATCTCACAAATCTGATAACCCAAATGCCATTGCTATAAAACCAGACTTGGTACAAAATTTTTGTATTTGTGGTACTTATCAAAAAACAATTAAAACTTTTAGCCTCATAAATTTTCAGTGTCTCGCTATCGTGTGGCCAACTTATATGGTCTAATTTATATTTTGTCTGTCACATTTGAACTATTGATAGTTCCAACTAGTTGGTATCTACCTAAAACTGTATTTCCAACTGAAAGCACATCACTCGAGTTTCGATTCAGAATTCGTTAAGGGATCTTGAGGTGCCGTAGGTGGTGACACCTCGATGAATATTAATAACTTTTCCAGACAGGTATAAAACCAGGATGGTTCATGTGTGACCCGATATTCCACCGGCGTTTGGCGACACTGAAGGTAAGATTAGTATCGTATGAGAATGTTTGTTAAATCTTTCTTTACCTGATCCAAACTTATGTAATAAACAAGATTCTTCATCAAAGAAAACGCCGAATTAAAAAAATAAATCATTTAAATTGTTGGCGTTCTTTTTGTGCGTAGTTTTTTTCTGGTATGTAGCTATTTGTATCTTTTTAAGTTGGACTATAATATTTATTTATAAGAATTTCGGCATTATCAGAAAATATCCCGCCTAGAATTAGTAAATTATTCACTCTCTATATTACAACGCTTAGAGGAAGAGTTGCCAGAATTTTCATCAAAAGAGATTATCGTCACGAACTTCGATGAATGCATCGTGGCTTTGGGACTGAAATGACTTTTTCTTAATTTTTAGAAGATTTTTTTAATTTGATATGTGCAATTTGGGTGGGTCAAGTTCCCTGTGACCCCCTTAGGTCCGCGCCTGTACTTACCACCACTTAACGTAATGTTTATTTGAATGAAAACTGCAAAAGGAAGGAAATAACTGAAATACTTTTAAAATGAAATATATCATATTTCGTATAAATCTAATGTATCCCGCATCTAACTATTTCCAGATGAATGCTAAGCCGAAATTCCTCGTAATTGCTGCAATAGCAGCGTTCGCAACAGGCTCCGCACACATCAGCGGCGGTGGCTTGCTGCCCCTACAGGCCACAGATCCACAGATATACTGCGGGAGGAACTTGGCCAGAGCCCTCGCGTTGCTGTGTTACGACGAGAGTAGTGCTTCCAAGAGGTCTGATAGTGCATCTATGTATGGTAAGTGATTTGAACATTGCCATCGCCCCTGCCATATGTACATTTACTTTATTAGATATAGTGCGGCTTGTGGCTTGTGGCACTGTAGGAAGGCCAAAGGGGAAGATCTCCCACCGAGCTGGATGATGTTCGCTCGAGGGCTGCGGGCCCGACTGTTTCTTTTTTTGAGTGTGAATGCTGTTGGTCGCAGATGACCTTTACAGCGTCATCAGGTTTGGGGACGGCGAGATCCTAAGGGGACCTCAAGCCGAGAAATGGCAAGTGCCAGATATTTCAGGTGGATGGCATCCCCTAGCGATGGGCATTGAATTAACGAACGGTTTAAATAGACGGTCTACGTTCAATCGACGCTTCGATGGTCTACAGTTCATTCGTTAACAAGTTGAATTCATAGACGGCTAAACTGAGAGTCCACAGCGTTCATATCTACTGACAATGCGACGACGACGCGTAAACGTATCCGGTTTACCTGTTACAAGTCCATACGTTCGTTCATTCGTTGAAATAAAACAAATTGAAACTTAAGTTTATGACGTGGGAGTTGATATTTGTTCGTTTTTTAAACTAGAGTTGTTAGAGTGAAAAGGTAAGAGTATTCTGATATTGCAGTGAAAGAGTGCGTCGATGGATCTGGCTAAAGGATGCAGTGCAGTTTTGTTTATTGAAATTTGAAATTAGTGTGTCGCGAGGTCAAGGTCAAGGGACACGTGAATGCGAATTTAGTGCAAAGTTCGTTTGAATTGAATGTTTATGTTATGAGTTGCTTAACCCCATCTGTAGGGCCAACGGTTTCTGCTTACGTTTGGGATTTCTTTGAATACGCGCCTTCACAGCTTTTATCACTGCTGGAGTCCTAACAGACCGAGGGCGACCACTTCTTGACCTGTCATCTACACTAGAGTCTTCATTGTATCGTTTGATGGTACAATAAACGAATCTTTTGGTAATATTAAAATTTTTCAGTATGTCAAAAATTTTCTATATAATTTATTATATAATCAACCCAAATAAAAATTTTCCTGCATTATTTCTTTTCCATATTAATTAGTATAATAAATAGTTAAAAGCATAAGGAAGAGACCAGAGGTAGAAGAGAAACTTTAAAAGAAATGTCATTAAGTAAGTGAAATCTATAACAGTATAATCCTCACTCACACAATAAAATTTGGTATGCGCGATACCTTCGGCAGTTTGTAAGCACGCATACCAAGATAATTATAAATGTGACATTAAAACGCGTGAATTAAAAAAAAAGGTTTCCGTGATAATGGACAAATTTTACCCCTTATCACACCATTCAAATAGGTATGCGTGACCTTTCCGGCCAAAAATCATTGGTTGGCTGGATTTTTTCTTGTTGAACATAATATTTCACACAACATTCTATATAAGATTGATCAAAATCCGTGATGACGGAATAAAAATATGGAAATTTAATAATAAATAATAATTAATTAATTTAATTAAAATATTTCCGGCCAATCAAATCCACGCCGACCAAGCAAATTTTGTTCGTTTAAACGTTAACTTTTATTTATTATTAAAAATATTAGAATCCGTGATCACGGAGCTTTCAGGATTGGTGGCACCCGGACTAGTGCGAAACGGAAAAGTCTTTAAGCGGTCCGCGCAGCATACGAGCGCTTACGGCATACTATCTGCTAAAAGACCCTCCGAATACCCTCTACCCTGTTAAGTGTGGAACTGCGACATCCCCGTTGAGGGACTTCACCCCGCACCCAACAGCCTCCCGGCCTAGCCGGGGCTTCACGGCAGAGATTGGCCGGGGTATCTCGGGTGATCCCGTAGAGAGCTAAGTGCTCGACCTCTACCACTACATGATCTTGGTCGCATTGTAAATTAGAGGCCCAGTTGCGGACCTTTTTGGTAGATTTAGTTTTTTAGTTTTATGAAATGTTTTTTAAAGTATTGACATGTTTATGATTTTTTCTATCAAAATTGTTTGTGTTCTCGTTGTCTTTGTGCCCGTCATCTGCTTCTAATATTATTTTGTAAAATACTTTAAAATAGTGTAAATAAACCCATTACGTCCGAAATCATAGCCTTTATTTCCCAGTAGCTCTCTGTTTCAGGCCCTAAATGATGTTATCAATACCTAAGCTGTCAAGACAACACCTATTTAAGGGCCACTTGCTAGAAATATGCTAAAACTAAATTAAGCACATACGATTATCTCAAATTGACATCAACGTTTAGGCATTTTCCTTTGGGTTAAATCTAGTATTAGTTGAATCGAATAGCAAAATTGCTACAAGTGGATTGCTACGATACTAACAGGTTTATTGGATGTCAAACTCTCTGAGTTGTATTGGCAGCTGTACTTCAATCAAAATGTGTTGATAATAAAAATCGACCTAGTTTTTCGTTTGCCAAAAATATATTAATGTGTTTCTATTAATCCACTGCTTGTTGTAATTTAATGTCGCTTAAATGGATCAATGGAAACACATTAAATGTATTTTCGCAAAAGAACAATTGAGTCGATTTGTATTATCAACTAATTTCGATTTACTGGGTTTACAGTACATTAAGAAGATTTTCATTTACAGATGGAATACTTCCGTATTATAAAAATCAAGAGTTACAAATGGATTGGCTATGGATGACACCACATAAAGCAAAGAGTCTTATGTATCACTCCAGAGGAAAACGATACCCAGGAGTGGTCAATGAATGCTGCGACAAAGCTTGTAGCATTAAAGAGCTATTGACATACTGTTAGTTTATAATCAGATACAAATATTATATGTTAAGATTATAAAATTACTCAAAAGCTTATATCTGGGACTTGATTTTGTAGATATCGTTGTAGTCTGAAGTATATTTTTTTAAAGATTTAAAGTATCATTTGTTATATTTTTAAGAAGAATGACACGAAATTATTTGCTCAATGAAGGTAGGTGTACCTACGTAGATGATTTTATATTCGTCAGTAGTCCAATGAGATTATTGTATGATTGTTATTTTTATAGAAATAAAATTATTAATAAAATTTAAGAAGTGAAACTTCTTTTCATACGTGGTGTAAATGGAAAAATCCTATGGAAAGGATGAAATGGAAAAGCGTCACGAGTATACACATACATACATATATCTACACCACAGGACACAAAAAAAATGAAAATCAGAAGAAACGAGTGTACAATTGGCTTTATTGGTAAATTAATTAAAGTTAGTTAATTATTCATCACATCAATTTCTTAAAAGAAGTATGTATATTATCTAACGTTCAACACAAATTATTCCCATAGGTCCATGTACAGCAAGTGTCAATTTTCATTAAGATTTACTTACGATAATGTTTTGTAAATCACACTAATATTACAAAGGCGAAAGTTTGTGAGTGTGTATGTTTGTTACTTCTTCACGTCTAAACGACTGGAGCGATTTTAATAAAATTTGAAGAATTATGGAGTTAGCTGGCACCCTGGATTAACACATAGGCTACGTTTTACTGCGGGAAAATATCCCTAATAAACCACACGTAACACCACGGGGCACAGCTAGTTTTGAATAAATATGAATTAATTACTCATGAATTTGGTACGTTGCATCATTTGAATATCAGTTATTTCATAAAGATAGGCTCGAGGCAAACGTCTAAGTCATATCCAAAAAGGTATATATGGGAAGGAGTTCTCCACTATTAGTCACACTGAGATCATTCTTATAGTGGACGAAAAATGGCATTTAATAATAAAATTAATAATATTTCCAACACTCCAACACCAATTAGCCTAGCCCCAAAGTAAGCACTGTAAGGTCTGTAAGGCTTGTGTTATGGGATACTAGGGTAATGGATATAATACATATACTGTACATATATAAGTATATTTTTATAGAAATACATATGATACATCCATGACAGGAGTACAAATGCTCGTTTTCATCACACAAACATCTGCCCCCACTGGGATTCGATCCCGGGACCTCCCGAATCGGGGACACCATGAAACCCGGCGTACAAACCACTCGGCCACGGAGGTCGTCAAATTGATCCCTACTAATACTTATATTTGTAGTGTTCACGCAGTTACACTATTCCGTCCTTGATAAGCATTTGTCGGTGATTAAGTATTCAAGTCAGAAGCGGCACTCTAGGCTTAAGGCGGTCGACGGCGGGGCCGCTGCATTCGGTTTTGTATAAAGTTACTTTTGAATGTACACGGGCGGTTGGAATACACATTTAGGAATATATTTGAGAGAGTACAGCTCATATTTATGATTTGACAAGTGCACTATTTTACATGCAGGACTTGGACGGAGAAAACTTAGCATGGACATGAGCAAAAACAGTGCAGACAGCTTAAGGCTGTAATGAAGGGATAAGGTTATGGTGTATCTAGGGTATTTATTATCGTTGTTGTAAAGGTATTAATTTAACCATTTTAAAAATTTAAGTTACCTACAACGCGAGGAGATGGCGCTGCCTTGCAGGTCAAGCAAGGCTAGAGAGAATTCGATACGGCCATCAGGGCAGCGGTAGCATAATGGTCAGTGCATTCGCCCTGATAGCGAAGTGTCGGATCGGGTTCGAGTCCCGTCTGTTGCCTCGTCCTCGTGAATTTTTTTATTGTACTTAATAACTTTACATCCGAAACTACTAGACCGGCTTGAAAAAAATCTTTTACGTTTAGAATACTATATCATGCCTGATGAACATAGGCTATAGAAAGAGTATTTAAAAAAAAGTTAGGGTTCCGTATGAAAGCTTAGATAATGTAACCAAACATGTAAAAAAAATACCAAATAAAATCCCCTATCGCCTACGCTCGTACGTCATAGACAATAAAGCACAGTGATGTACTCACGGTTGCCAACCGTACGAGATTTCTCGTACAAATACGAGATTTCTGGTCGACCATACGAGGTACGAGGTCACTTCACATCTCGTACAATTTTGTACGAGATTTCGAGATTTGTCTGAGAAATTTATATCATGATATTTCATCATCGACCCTTTTTTCTTTCAAGAAATATTTAAATGCCGTTAGATGGCACTTTTATAATCTTGTAGTAGTGCTAAAAATAATCCCTTTTTGAGGTTGTAATTTGATAGTCTAATAAAATTGCCGAGGCCGAACAAGCTGCAATATAAAAAGCTGCAAGCTGAAATACCAGAAATGCTATCATATAGGTGCCAAGAATCAAACAAACGGTTACATTACATGACTTTACAAATTATTAGGCTATCAATTAAAATATATTGCGGCGCCATCTAGAAATACATTTAGCTCTACCACAAAATATAACAACGCCACCTAACGACATACATCCATACATATTTCTTTTATACGAGGTGCAACAAATTACCCCATCCAACCTGATGTTAAGTGTATGTGAAGTCCAGTTGCGAAGATAGATTATGCGGCAGCACGTGTGCCGCTCTTGCGATCCCCACCTAGCCGGCCTGAACCCAATCCCCTACCTCGTGGTGCCCTGGAACCCTATTCACCAACAGAAACACAACACCACCAAAAGGTGCTGTTATTTCACTGTGGTCTTCTGTAAGGTGGAGGTTACTTCCCCAGACAGACGCTCCAATTCGAGCGGAAAATTCGCTGTGCCCGTTTTTCTTTGTTATTTTACAGTGATGTTTTATATTTAGTATCGAACGCGCAATAGTTCATTTTATTTTCTAATACATCCTAAATTCAATATTTTAATATGCCTTACATTTACCATGCTTAAAAATTTACGACTCCGATATTCATCACATACCTTTGAATATCTTTGGGTATTTGACGAGAAAAGTGAACTTTCCAAATTGTACTAAGCGTGAGATGGTCGAGGTTTTGTGGCATGTGATGGTGGTAGAAAGAAAGATATCACTTTTTTAATTAATTCTCGGAGCCGACAGTCAAGGATATCTTTATATATATAATTCTTCTGTGAGTGTGTATGTCACTGAACTTCTCTTAAATGACTGGACCGATTTTGATGAAATTTTTTGTGTGTGTTCAAGGGGATCTGAGAATGGTTTAGATTCACAATTTTGTCCGCTGGACAACCCCTATTTTTTTAGGGCGGTACGAAGTTCGCTGGGTCAGCTAGTTGGTTTATATAATAGCATACTATCTAGTCTCCTAACAAGTAACATTTTGTATCAAATCTTATCAATCTGGGGGCCAATCGCCTAACGGAAATGCTTTGGGAAACGCTAACGCTTACGATTTTATATTGTTATTTCTAGCCACCTGAGGTTTTCGAATACCTCACGCAATTTTTTTTTAATATTGTTATTACCAATGCAAAAGAAAAAGAAAGAGCGCGAGGCATTTGAATACCTCAGGCGGCTAGAAATAACAAAATAAAATCGTAAGCGTTAGCGTTTTCCAAAGCATTTCCGCTAGGCGATTGGCCCCCTGTTTAAGAAGACGATAGAAAACAAAAACTGTTGCAATACCAAGTAGTTTTCTTAGCAAATTCAAAGCTTTAAAAAAACGGGAAAAGAAGTGTTCCTAACTAAATACGAGTATCTTGGTACTTCAAGCTCGACAGTGGAGACAAATGTTTTGTATTTGTTTGGTTCAATTGAACCAACAACAGATTGCGAAGGCTACTCCGTCTGATACGCAGTAAATAAAACAATCCAATCGGATGCCGGCTAGGGGTATAATAAAACCAGTACAATCGGTCTTGTTATGAAAAAACTTGCAGATTGAGGGTGCTGGGCGGTGGAAGTTATTAGCTCGCGTTGCGAGATTGTATAGGAAAAGGTATCGGTTGCTCTTCAATGAAACATGAATTGACTCAATGCCTCTCAGGTCTGTTAGAGGCGATAAAAAGTTATTAAATTTACAACAGCACGGGTGGAGGTATGTATAGGAGCGTCTGGTATGTACATATCTATTAAAAGAAAAGTTTAGAAATTTCAGAGATTCAGTGGATTTACCGTTCGGAATGGATTGCTCTAATGAGGAAAGGTGTCAGGGTTGCCAAACGTAGGCAAGGGCGGATCCAGAGGGGGGGTCATGACCCCCTCTGGGCTGGGTCCATCTGTACCCACTGTGACTTGACCACGACTATATGACCCCCCCTGGCGCCAAAGCTGGATCCGCCCTTGAACTTAGGAGGATTCTCGTACAAATACGAGATTTCTGGTCTTCCGTACGAGGTACTAGAACACTTCTCACGTGTACGAGATTTTGTCAAATAAATTTATAACATGATTTTTCATTAAAGGCAACCTGTGGGAGCATAAACCGTAAGTATCCAAACCAGTCTCTGTTTATTATAATTTTTATTTTAAGGTAGAGGTTTGAATCTAAAGAGTATTTTACTGGAAAAACATTTGTTTATATCTATGGTTAGTTGACCCATTGGACCATAAATTTACCAATTCTAGGGAGGGGGGGGGGGGCAGGTTAAGGCCCTCCTCCGATATAATAAAACTAATGTTTAAGAGCTCGATAGTGCAAGTGGTTATCTCGTTTGGCCTGCGATCGACGAAGTTAAGTAACTTTCGCAATGGTTGGTCATTTGATGAGTGACCAAAATCTCGAGCTCCCCGTGCTTCGGAAGCCACGTTAGCCCATTGGTTACGGCTGCATCTGAAGTCGTTAGCACCGACCAATCCGCACTGGGCCTGCGTGGTGGGTCAAGGCCCAATCTCTCTATTCCATCCATATGGAAGGCCTGTGGCCCAGTAGTGAGGACATTAATAGGCTGATGATGATGAATTAAACGATTCTGTCGTGACATGAGTATGGTCTTAGTGCGAATGTTTTTCAATTAACAGTGCCAATTATATCTTTAAGTGCTAAGTATAATAAATATAACTATAATAGATAGAATATTAGACAACGATAAAATATCCATACAACTTTGACCATTTTAAAAGCTTTTATTTAACTTGCAATGTGTGTATATATGTTACTATGTCTGTTCGTGTGGAAGTTTGCAACTCAATTTTAAAGCAGATATTTTCAACCGATGATGGAGTAAAATTTGTATTACCAACAGTGATAAGACGCTTCACACTAATGTCGTAAACTTTGATTATATAGATCCTAGATACAGTATTAACTGCACGCAAGCAGCGAAAAAAGTATCTACTATATGTGGTAGATA